AATCCCCTATCCTTAAATTCCTAAAAACCCACAAAAGGTCGGCAACGCACTTGTAGTTACTCCGTTAGTATTGCGAGTGCGAGTTATTGCTTACCGCCAGGTATCAGATAATCCGTCTGCAAATTATTTGCCATCCTATGACATAAAAAAACAGATTATACAAAACAAAACTCTGGTTTTCAATACAGAAATCAAATATTAATATACATTAATTATACATCGTTGTGAATAATTCAAGTATTTCGGATTAAACAATCAATTAATCACTGTTATTTTTGAGATCGTAAATACCGCGTGCATAACCTTACTTGTGAAGATAAATATAAATAGTTAGCACTACACTGATAAAAAATATCATTTAAACTAGAAATGTTGTAAACGCCATTTGGAACGCAGTCCGTAATTTCAGCAACTCACATATGAGCCCGGATAGCTCAGTCGGTAGAGCATTGGACTTTTAATCCAAGGGTCCAGGGTTCAAGTCCCTGTTCGGGCGGCTCTTTTTTGTGTTTAAAAACACTTTGCTATATTTAATTTTACTTATTTATTGCATTTTTTTGCAAGTTAATGATTTTTTTTTAATATATTCGCATAATAATATTACATCATTAAGCGTAAAAGTAGCAATATAATTATTAGATAACAAAAAAAGTTAAATTCATTATTAATGCAACAAAACATTAAAATGTTGTTATAAAAATGATGTGTTGAGTAAAGTGTAATTTCAACAATAACTGTCGAGCCCCTGTGGCCTAATGGATAAGGCATCGGCCTCCTAAGCCGGGGATTGTGGGTTCGAGTCCCACCAGGGGTACGCAGTGGAAATAACTTTTGTTTTGTTTTTTTGCCACATTTAAATTTGGCTATTTATTTGCTTTTAAATTAATTGGTGATTTTTTTATTTGTCCACTAGATGGCGTGCCTAAGTCACAGTTTTATGTTGCCTTCGAATAATCATGCTTTTGTACGTAAATATTGGAGGCTTTTTACAATGTTAGTTTAATGTTTAAGTACCTAGTATATAGGTCTATCGTCTAGCTATGATTAACTTTTTTAAATTCGTTTGAAAGTAAAATTTAAATTTGATGGCATATTAGCATTTGTGGATTGATTAGACACTCTTTTAAACTTATTAGAATAATTTTGATAAAATGATCATAAGATTCCTTTTCGGTTTACTACATTCAATATACGCATAATAAGCTCTTTATGACGTCGTACAGTCGCAATAAAGAGCAATAGAAATTGTGAAATGCCTTCAATATTGAAATGTCGACCTAGTTCGCGTGGCCACGGGGTGTCTGAGGAGTGCGGTGAGGGGCAAAGGGGGTCGCGGGCGGGGAAGGGGCGGGCCACTGGCTACGTCACTACAATTAATAATGGCTCGTCATACTCATCTATATATTCGGTAGTAAAATAACAGTTTTCCATAAAACTTATGGGGAAAAACAACTGTTATGGATTTATGGTGAGATATATTGGATATGCACCCGCTCAAGCTTGATTAATATTTTACTAAGTTAAACTAAACATTATTGATGTGCCTTATTATCTTTTGAAACTTTTGCAAAGAAGTTGGAACATATAAATAAATAAGATATTTACTTAACTTAAATTGGTTGTACTGTAATACTGCAACTAATTAGATACTTAAAATAGACAGTGGCTTTCTAGAATGAAATATTTACTTCGTAATTTGGCTTCCGATAATTCATTGAAGAATAATAAAAGCAATAGCAAAGAAAAAGCAAATAAAATTTTTTTTTGTTGTAATTTTTCACTTACTTATATCCCAATTGGTAGAAAGAAAAAAAAGATTTTCTTTCTTCTTTCTTTCTTTATTTACTTATATCCCAATTGGTAGCTAGTAACATACGTTATGTCATTTATATGTATACTCCACACTCAAAAAATATTTGTAAGTACTTCTGATGAAGCTATTTGAATAGCTTTGTAAAATTTAGGTACCTAGCTATGCACTGAAAGCATATGAATAATTTAAGTGAAAACTTATGTTTCGCCGACGTCGCCGCGTCAATTAAAAACTAGGCGAATATCAAGTTCCCTTATTTATTCAAACACAATGCATAGCATCCCTTATTTATTATTCCACGCTTCATCGGATATAATACAAAATTTTTCCGAGCATTTTAACAATAAGCTGTATGTATGGATTTCAATAATAATATTATGTACTCCTAGTGTTCAGCTGAGTGGCGATGACAGCGCCCCATGCGGCGGTTGGCGAAATGCGCCTGTCACTTTCCTGTCAGCGACATTGCGAAAACAATACCGTTATTTCCATGTAATAACTCTATCGTTATCGGACGTCTAAAACATAACGACGTTTGTTTACATTTCATTGTATCCATTGCATTAACTAAGTGGAGTCCTGTTGAAGCGATTACTTTACGCTACGGGTGACATTCTAACCTTTTAATATGTATCTACCTACCTATCTAATAACTTATATAATGTAGTTTTCTGTTTCTTGTCTCCAGTCAAGTATATTTTATAATAAATATATTTAAAAGCAATGATTTCAGTTAAAAAATATCCACCTTCAAATTCAACCCCCTTTGCAGATTAAAACCTACCTACTTGTTTTGCCCGTGTGTAGGTGGCTACGAGTCTTCGATTAGGTACTTAGTTTACGCAAAGACAGCGCTAGGTACACCAGGTTCAGTAAATTACGTAATCTAGTAACTAAACGTCTGCTCCCGAGAATACGTAGGTACCTGAGTTCCTAAGAAGAATCTATTCTACCCACGTCAAACGTGTGTGGAGGTGTCTCCTCTTGTCGACGATTTTTTTAATATATGTGCCTCACACATGATGAAATATATCAATTAACTGCTAAAATAAATCGTAAGGTTAAATTGTATTTTTAGACAATTAATTCAGTGACGCGAGCCAGGGGTATTGTCTGCTGACCCGCCCGGCGCCGCGGTCTCGTAAACCCACCGCGAGATGGCGCTGCTAGTTTTATTGCCTGTTTGCACAACAAGCTGTAATGGAGGACTACAATATTGACAGACCATTAATTCGACAGGAAATTGTGCTGAAGCCGCGGTCTGTGCAGGTGATTGTGAACTTTTCAAATTATCCGCGTGTTCTGCGGTTGTTTCCACTTCAAACAGCGAACGAGCGAGTCGGGCTTTTCACTCCAGGGATCAAGTTGAATAAACTCTGCAAGCTACAGCCTAGCGGGCAACGGAACATGCCACGAACACGACACGTTTGTATAAATGTCTCGCTATCGATTTTTGTCGAACATGTCACTTTCCTACAGTGAGGTCGAGGTGTGAAGTGCTCGTGTACATAGGTAACTGCCGTTCGATTAACTTCCACAGGTAAACAGACAGCTTTAATTTATGTAATCAGTATGGAAATCGTGTACACACGAATCGTGCCATGTTTCAATGTAAGGCTGACGGGCATGTGGCCAACGGCTTGGTCCAAATGGACCATATGGAAAATGCAGAGCCAGCGTCGGATCAGGTGAGCTCTTGAAACACAGTTGGCAGAAGTGTTCAATAGAGCAAGGTAAGAATACCATTACGCACAAACGAACGACTCAATGAAAATAACCTTTAGATACTAAGTACGTTAAAATTTTGAATAGCAAGGAGTTAAAAATAAACACTAGAACGAAATTAAAACTAGTATCCTAGAGTGAATTGGAAAATTTTTGAAAAACCATGCTCATAAATTAGATGTATTAATTTGCTCGGTATATTACAAGAAAACACTGTAATTTTAAACGATATAATTCAAACTTTGTTTTCCTAGTAATAAATTAAGGTTAGGAATCGTAAAAATTACTAAGACTGTCATACTAATATCAAGATGAATAAAATTGAAGTCCTATTTACTTATAAAAAGGTACACGTAAGTACCTATGATTATTATTAAAAAATGAAAAAAATCGGTAATTGATGATCAATATAAGTCAATGTATTCTGCATATCGTAATACAATACATACAAATATCTAGATACATACCTATAGTGAGACATAAATAAAAGTTATGAGAATAAAATTGGTACGAAAAAACAGTTCCTAATTTAAAGTACGTACCTACAACTACTACTACATAACGGACCTAACTACCTATGTAGCTTGGTAGGTGCATTCATAAAACATCGATCAAGTATGATTACAATTCCGAGTTCGAGTTCCATGTTCTAGTCCAAACAGCCCTTAACGTCATGTCACCTACATTACACGAGTAAGAATATGTCGTAATCGGAGTTATGTTAGATGACGATAAGAGCTCGTTCAGTTTATTCGAAGCTCCAAATGCCCGGCGTCGGCAGCGGCAGGCGTCAAAAGGACATATTCTTTTAATTAAGCCACGCGGAAAGCGTCGTAACTTTTACGAGGTCCGTGATTTAACTATTATTTGTCATCAATTTTATGTGGTCTTAAAGCAAATAGTACATTGGAACTGTTCGACATAAAATGGGACATTTAGAGTCTCACCTTACTTTTTTCTAATAGGTTTAGTAATTGCTCATAAATTTCAACACATTAATATAATTAAATCAAAACTAAAATTATATATATGTCTATAATTATGTCTTAGTAAACGGTGTAAAACATACTTATAATCTGGTTTTAGTCAACTTTTGTTCAGATATAGGAATTTTTCGAAAATTAAATAAGAACTCGATTGTAGTGCCATCTGGAGTCCAGTAGTTCAAGTTAAAATCAAACCTGCTTGTCGTACAAATCAAATTAGTATAGGAAAACAATAATAGATGGCGTTAGTAATTTATGTTTGCTAGTCGATACGAGATGGCGCTGTATACCGTGTTTAACACATTGACGTTTATCATAACACAGATGACGTTGATGGACAACATTATTTATTTCACATTAAATTATATTTTGCATTAACACTCATTTCAGACAATCATTCTATAAAAATTTCATGATAAAAATCGTAGAAACTGTTTGTAGTGGATTAAGGAACATACAATATTTCTTTTTCTTACCTCCAAGTCAGGTTGGTGTACTTCCACTTCTCTCCCTGGACTGCGAACCGTTTCTTTCTCCTGTGCTCGTCATCATCCTCTTCTCTGTCTGGTCGTCCGCATCGCTTCTGCTTCATCAGCATCAATGTCGCCTTGTCGATCTCACCCGTCACTGGTATACCACCGAATTCCTGTAAATATACAAGTTTGAGTAAATAGGACACGATTGTGAACTAAGGAAGAAAAATTGTTCTTCTCGTCGTTTAAAAGACGAATAATTATGAGAGGTGTTATCATGGAAAGTCATGGAACAATAGATACGCCACAGACATTGTACTGAGATTGTGCTATAGAGATTGATCGTGTTATAATGGTAAATTGATAGTTCTTGAGACTTAAAATTAAGTTGAGTGACTTTATGACATTCGTAGTACTATTTGTCTATTAATATGTAAGTAGATATACTCCTTGTGTTCTAGGTAATACTAGGTTACCATAAGAATATTTGTCTATTTATATGTATACTCCCTGTGTTCTAGGTACTTAATACTAGGTTACCATAGAAAGACTTAGCTTTGTTTAGGACTACTAGATACGTACTTGTAACGTTTTGATGGCGATCCTGTAGTCGTCTTCGTACTCGTGTTCGTTGTTCATGAGTTGCAGGTTACCGACCTCCGGCCGACCCTTCTTCAGGTACCCAAACGTTTCTAGGTAACTCCTCTGAAACGAAATAAAAATAAAATATAAGTATTTTTTTTTAATTATACAAAGAGGTAAGGTATAGAGATTCTTGTTTTCATACTTTTAGGGATTGGGTTAGGAAACGATTTCACTCAGGCTTACTTGAAAGAAACTTAATTACACGTAAAGGAAGGTAGAGGGTATATCCTTGACAAGGTGTAACTTTAACTTATTTTTTTTGTAACAACTGTTTTAATTTATAGCCCAAAGCGAACGCCGGCTTTCGCGCACCTATTGTCTTAGTACTGTGTTTCTAATAACCACATTGAAAGGATAAGTTAAAGAAATCAAGAGTGTTACTTTTATGTGTCTCTGATTGCCTCAATATACATAATATATTACCAGGGTATGTTTTCAGGTTAAATCATTTATTTTATAACTACATTATTATATAGTTTAAACCGAAATAAATACTAGTCATCATAAATTTTCCGCATAATTTAATTAATTCTTGGGTATAGGTACACCCAATAATATAATTGTACTTAATGTAATGAGTTTCTATCAAAATGACATAGGTACCTAGTGCTTTCGCAAAATTTATATACCTTATAAATATGGGTATTGCATTGTTAGTATAGTAGAGTATGTAAACCTAGTTAGTACTGAACAATAGACATTAATAGTTTACTAGAATATTAAATAAATGAGGAAGCAATCATAGTATTATCCATTGAGACTTTTTCGTGACCAAATCTTAGAAGGTAAAAGGCAAAATAAAACAATGGTAGGTAAATCCCGGTTCTCCTACTGACATAATTAAACAGACATAATTACTGGACACATTACCTACATACAAATCTATGTATATCTATGTAGGTAAGTATATGTATATGTCATAATATTCACGTGAACTCGAGACGGCTAAACGGATTTACAACGTACTTAGCGCATTAAGGATTCCTTTTACTTTCAGAATTGCGAAACCCCAAAGTAGGTACAGCTGATATAAACATCCATTAGCGCCCCCTGCCGGACGGACAGTTACATTTATCTCTTAAACTTGTCCTGCAAACTCGGACATGTCATTGTAATTATTCGGTGTGAGGATACGCGACCCCTTTACCGAGAGTAGCTTAAAAGGGAGATTACTTACGAGTGGATGGGATATGTACATCCTACTTTTACCTACTATTTTTGGTACTTTTATAGCTGAATTATTATTGTGAAGGATTGTATTGTGTACTGACAAATTAAAACTACGATCTGCAACGGTATACTCTCCTGTATCTCTAAGCCTCTTGTAATAACATCTTTTATACATATTATAAACGAAAAAAATTCTTAACCAAACATTATCAATAGGAATTTTACATAAAGAAAGTTGGATGTGAGACAGATACGTTTATACACATACGTAGACGGTTATGACATACAGATATTTATTCTGTATCGATTGCAAAGATGATTGATACGGTATTGAGCAGACAAGGCTCGCATCCTCAATCAATCTGGCAAATGCGGTGAATATTTAAGTCACAATCAGTACCCTACGCGGGTGGGCCGCAGTCCTTCAGCAGGAAATAATGGCACGGCACCAACCACAGATGTTCGTATTGTTGTTGATGTGATAATAATTGATGTAACAGATAATTACGGCTGGTGTACAGACAGAAGTCGTCGTGATAAATGCCAGGTTTATGTCAACAATAAGTCACCGGGACATCCAGCTGTTATTACTAAGCAAACTAGCCCGGAATATAGTGTTTGTCATCTACATTTTTAACCACCCTCATTAATCCTAAACCAACTTTGTTTTCTTCGTCAAACATTCACCTTTTTTCTACTTTTAATTAAAACCACACTTGTGGTTTGACAATGGTTGTTAAACGATTCCTTTGTACACTCGGAGGCTCCCTCTTTTGATAGTCTTTGTGTATTTTTTAGAGATCCGGATACGAGGTGTACCTATTTAAATTTATTTGATGAAAGAGTTGGGGATAATGTCTACCCGTCAGATCGTCACTTAGTCAAATCTTTTTGTGAGGAATAAAGAAGTTGTAAAATAACATTCAATACAACAAGCATGAGTTAGTAAATTGAAAAAAAAAATGTATTATTATTAATACTTTTATAGGAACACTTTTACTACCTACTCAATTTATGTATAAGTAAAGATCTTAAACTGTTACGGGTAATACCAATATTGACATCGCTTTCCTTTTCCAAGTTTCTGAATAGAAGTTCTCCATTCGAAACCGAACAGTAATATCGTACATAAATAGTGGAATACCGTCGCTTTTTGTCCGCAGCTTGCGGTGAGCGCAAAGTTTGTTTTAACCAAGGATGCCCCCGACTTTACGACCAACAATAAAGACTTTGTTAAGCAATCTGCCGTCTATTATTCACTCCCTTAACTTATCTAAGTTAGCTTCTAAATGCTTCTGTGGGACTCTGTTTATTTACATACCTATACCTAAGCAAAGGACATAAAGTAAGTTGCTTTCAAGTTGAACAATTTGGCTCAAATTGAGACAATCATTCCTTTTATGTTCGGGTATAGAATGGCTGTATTATCTACAATGTACACAGCTTTTAGCGAATTAATGTAAGCTGAGGGGTAGGTACTGCCTAGTTTTTTATTAAGAGTATACCTATATATCTTGTGGTAAAGAAGCGTATACCTAAACCTACCGTAAACCATACACATGCGTGTGTATGGTTTTAGCATTTAAATATTATGACAGTTACATTATAAATAGTGAAGCTTCAATACATTTCTGACGCCAAAAGTCACAACAATGGCAATATATTAACAGGAAAGTGGACCAACGAACGTTCCTTAATTTCTGAAGTGCAATACGTAAATCAGAAAGACAGCAATAATTCACCTCGTGTTTCTGTGTCAGGTCAACAGGTACCCCCCCATAGCTTCCAATGATGACGTACATCGATGACCCATAAGAAAGCCATAAAATAATGCAAATATTTTTTACAATTAGGTTAATATTGTTGGTTGCCGCAACGATTAGGGATTGATGGGTATCCATTAAATAGAAACATCCAATAAGTTGGCAATTTTTATTAGAATTAGGTACTTGTCCGCGTTTCTTGTTATCGAGAATCGGTATCGGGACAAATAAAAACATTTCGTTTTCCTGTCAAGGTGGAGTTATTGATTTGTGTTTTGTTTTTGTGAATTCGTGCTACCGTGTTACACGGAAAATAACTTATTTTAACCGTTGTTTTTTATACGCCCTTTTAACCGATAGACGGTTTTATCTTTCGACAAATAATGTACTAACTAATTACGCTTTTGTTACGGGCGACCAGGAAAATTATAAGTATAAAACAATCTTATAGAGTAGATATATTATTTTTTTGGAATTTGGAACCTTGTTTATTGCTTTCTCGAGTATTCTGACTTAAGGTCAGCCGAGAGGTTGTTACGGATACATCTTAATAATAAATACATAGGTATTTGAGATTTGCCGGCAGAGCCTTGGAGCAGAACAAGAATATTTTTTCTCAGAACTGTAGGTAGGTACTGTGGAACTTTGGCACCTACCTGGTGCAAACATTCCATTAACAAATTAAAAATTATCCTCACCCTAACCTATGCTTTGCTGGGTATTCTTATAACCTTTTTAGTTCTTATTCTTATAAAGATAAGGTTGCTAACATTTATTAAATTAGTTAATTTTATTTTTTGAACTCGTACATATGTTTTTTAGGCCACTATCCTCTTTAACTGTAAATGTTTTTGTATAAGGTCTAAATTTGCGTGGCAAACCCGTAACTTACTAAGCAACAAATTACAATGCACGTCAATACATGTAACGTTGACGTGTACAAACATTTTATCTGTAATTACGTTATTTACCTGAAATTACATATTTGCGCGACCATCAACTTATTTACTGAAGAAATAGATAAGTATTAAGTATTTTTTTTATGTCGGTAGCGAATATTGCCCTGCTCAGAAACTGCTGTACCTATGCTTTGTTGTGAGGAGAAAATCATCAAATGGCTTCTCCCGCCCAGGGTGAGGCGAGAGGCGAGTGTTAGACTCTTACTGACTTAAAATCCTCTGTTACTTCTCCTGCTCTAGGCCAAGGCTGCGGTGCGGTTGTCTGCTCCTCTACCCCGTCTGAACATCGGCCCTGTTGGGCCCCGTCTTTTATTCTACCGCTGTAATTAATGGTCACAAGCAGGACGCTGCCAAAATAGCAGCATAATTTTCTAGTTAATTAAACAAATAGGTATAAAACAATTTCCCCAAACCATTACAATAAGACATAGTTTCGCGATTGTCTCATGTTTTTATTTTATTTTCGTGCTTTATGTATAGATGCGAAACAAGAACGCACAAAGGTCCTTCAGTACTGTTTGGTCTATTTGAACGAACGCCATCTACATAATTACAACTTTGCATGTCCTTATAGCAATAGAGGGTCAAAGCAATCTATAAGGTCTATCTACCGTTAAGTAGGGACCAAAGAATCCAAAATGTGGGACACGGTAACTAAGTACCCGGAATCACTAAGTGCGTCGCGTGACGCCACCTATTTTGTCCCCTAATTAATTAACAAATCTCTGCCATCAACCTGTGCTACTTTCTTCAGCGCTAAGGAAACAAGTCAAAAATCTCTATTTAGGTCGATTACAATAATGTGTGTCGTTAGGCTGGCTCGTCTTTTGATCCGTTTTGTTGCTAGCAGTAAAAAGAGCATTAAAACCTCTTTTGTCCTACAATCGTTTTTTTTTGTGAGTGTAACTAGATTATGTATATGTACTTATAAACACAAATATATTTAATATGTTCTGTAGTTAGTTAGGTACAATTATGGTACTTCACATCAAAATAATTTCATTATATAAAATTACTCAATAACCATGCATTAATATTATCATGTCACAGCCGCAAAATATGAGCTTCATTAAAATATAAATTCAAACTTCATCAATTTCCATTAAATTATACGGGGGATAATTACCATAGTGATTACCATGCGGCCGTCATCGCACCATAGACAACGGACGCGGCGCCATACTGGCCATAGATTATAGAATGCATCGTGTGTGGTTGTCATCGGGAGCTAATCAACCGCGGTGCGAGGGTGACTGGCCCGGCGACGCTGCACCCCATTGATTGACACCCGCTGTCACTCCGACCGTCCCCCACACGATATCATTATAAATTACTCACACTACCGTTTCGTACTTCATTTTAATTTATGCAGTCTGTCTGGTCGTAAATTAAAGTATTAGGAACCCTTCAATTCAGTTATTTTTATACCCTTAAACGTTGTTGAAGGCTCGTATGTAACATTAAACATATAAGAATATACTTTTCTTCGAACAGTTAACTTAATGTTATACTGTGTGTGGATACCACACACAAAGCAGAACGCATTGAGGTGCTAAACATGTAAATATTCATAGCGGATTGCGATTTACGCCGTGCGTAGGAATTTGTTCAGATGAATGAATGCAAATGTACTCACATTCTTGAATGGACGGTCGTTCAAGGAGTTTGTAGTATACGGTACTTGCTTCGCGTTTATCGTTCACTCATCAGAACATCTGCTCGCTAGATGATAATGATAACAATTTGTCGCATGTGTGGGAGTTCTTCACGTGTTATTTTAGTTAAAAGCGCTTCCTAGTTCCAACAATAAAGCGATGCACGAGTCTTTATAGCTGCTACGCGTACATTAGTATGCACGTTTTAATAGACTTGCTATGTATATCTAACTAATGGGTATTTTCACCTCCTGTGCTAAATTGTTACGTAGATTGTGAAGGAAATCTGCGAGATCTTGTTTGTATCAAGATTGAGTGGAGACAGGTTGGGTATAAGGTATAATATACACATATAAACATAAATATCAAGCCACGTACTTATATACATATACATCTTCTGGTTTCGAACATAAAAATGTACAAATTAAACGTTAAATTTTCAGGGAAACGCTTAACGCTGTGTTAATATTGCGTTATTACTGCCGAATTAAATAACTTGCTTATTTTGTTGGAATCGATGCTCGTTTCCTGCTGCCCGTAAAACATGGCGTTCCCAGAAGGGAGTGTGGAGCAAAATTAAACTGTATTTTATTGCATCCCGCCCTCCGGGGAAATGTTTGTGCATTATGGACTGCTAATAATAGCCACCACTTTATTAACTTAATGAATGCTCCAATTTTATCACCGCATTTTAATTGTAATAAGACATGTCGAAGTTCAAAGATTATCGAAGAAGAATAAGAATTATAATAGTCATTACTCAGTCAACAGGACCTTGGCATTAAAAGTCATTCTCAAAATCTTACACGTATCTACCTAAATACTTATTTAGAAAGTAGGTATTCGAACACTTTAATGATAACCATTAAATACGTAAAATGTTTGTTTTCGACACAAACATACATACAGATATTACAGCCCACGAGCTTAAAAAAAATACGCAGCAGCTCGCAATGAAAACTCTCTCAATTTTAAAACCATTTCCAATGAACAGTAACATTTTAAGTGCAACGAATCGAAATCACGTGGTCATCCTCAGGTAATTATTTGTCAGGATCGAATTCGTTATTTAAAAAAGTGATTTAGATGCAGCCAATGGGCGGATGTAATAACGCGTTGGACAAATGCGTCCGTCCAATCGCATTCATCGAATCAACGAGGACGTATTCATTGCCATCCAATAATGTGCAGGTCTCATGACGTGGCACGGGGTAATTCAAATCAAAACACTAATTCGAGTTTAGGGGACAATGAGGGATGAATTTGAAATTCAAATGGCGCCAGTGACACATGAAATTGAATGGAATTATGTGAGACAATGGTTGTGAGCCGTGTCTTAAATGTTGGTTCCGGCTTTTGTATATACTTACGTGACTTCATCAAATAATTTCTTATGAATTTAAGACTTTTCCTGTTATCCTTTTGTCGTTCAGGAATCAATTAATAATAATTATTACGTTTGTCTATGTTGAGTAGTATTATAAATCATTTACATCTGAATTACACACACACGTTAAGAATTTATAGACATTCCTTAATTTGAATTTTTGTTGCAATGAATATATTGTAGTTCACGAGAAAATATAATTCGAGAATTATTTTTGTCTATTATATTATATTACACCTCCAACGTAATTCTAATAAATACTTTATAATAATAAAGTATCCTTTGATCACAAGATGTCAACGACTCCCTAACTCACAAAGTAAGTTAGCGGTGGTTTCATAAAAGAAATAAAATTCAAACAGGTGTTTAGGGCATTGACGCGTCATTCAATCGGTCACTCGTCCTTTTAAAGTTCAACTTTATTTATATTCATAAAACAATGAAGACCTGACGAGTGCATACGTCACAGCTAACTGTTTTATCTTTTATTGTTAATAAATTATTCAACTAACTATATGTGGTATCACTCTCTCTGATATAAACTACGACAGACGGCTTATGGTCACTGTGCCATGGAAATTTTATTACCGCTTTACTATAAAACTCATTGCTATGTAGACCTGGCCACTAATAAATTAATGCAATGGAAACTTTTTACGTATGAATTGAATTCAAACAATACAGAAAAAAGAACAAAAGCGAGTGTGCCTTATTTGAATTAAGAACACTTCGGTCTTTTAATCATAGAATTTTAGACTCTATTCAAAGGAACATTGAATAGAAATATTTATAAGGTAAGAGGGCTATTCTCGTATCTTCCCGGAGCAGGTGAAGTCCAGTCAAGGGTTATTCTGATACCCGTAGGCGAAGTTAACAATCTGTAATTGCGTAGTTCCGCAATGTTATTGTGATCTGTAAATTGCCCACCTTGGTATATTGTGCTTGCATACTATATAAATAAATATATACACGGTGCAGGTATTATTGCACGTGCAAGTGGTTTAGATGATACAGAGGACGTTTATTTAGTTTAATAACTTGTTAGTTTAGTGGCACAGTAGTTTCCACGTACAATATAAGGTCCACTACGTAGAATTGTCTATAAACACATAGTGACTGTATGTGGACAAAGGAATGCTCTCTCGTCGAAGATTATAGTGTAAGTATCAAGTAAGTTAAGAATTATTAACGACAATTGCCTGCCTTAAAGTAGTTTTTAATATAAATATTTTGTTTAAGATAATATAGAAAATAACAGTAGTAGATAAATAGCAGTAGTAGTACTGTAAATTTTATACATGGAATACTCAAGACTCAAGGCAAACAATAGAATCACGAAAACCACGACAAACAATAACAAAGAGAATAAATTCAATTCACCCTCTAAAATTAAATATACATATGAATTACTCTCAGTTCAAAAACTTTTTTTATTCAACAAAAATAAGCCAGTTAGTTCTGGTAAATGGAGTTTCGAGAAAAAAGTATTTTTTCACATTTTATAGAGGTAAGACTTGACCTCTATATATTATTGAATATAAAGGGTGTGTGATGCGTAACTGAAGTCTAGACGAGCTCCCAAACTTTTGAAGCCGAGCTTTTATAAATAACTTAGATATCACTTTGATACAGTTTTGCGGTTGGTTGGGAAAAATCTGATTTGCAAACCGACCGAAAACTATTGATCTACATAGAGGGTGTATTATGTAAACGCGTGTGTGTGACATTGAACCTTGTAAAAGATACTTTAAAACATGTATTTTATTTTCGATACGTGTCAAACACTTTGTACTTTCATACAGAGCAATGTCAAACAAAATAGAGTCATGACACCAGAGTTCCAAGTAAAATTAAATACAGAATTACATTATAATTGTGGTATTACCGTCATGGCGGAAATTTGAATTAATAATGTTGTTTCCCTTTGATTTTCCGGCGTGTTGGCTGTTGGATGTCAGGACATTTCTGCGATGTTTTGTTGTTTTCTTTGTTCGCACCTGATGTTTGGATTTTAGCCAAGAGTGTCTTTAAAGTCAGCTTCATCGCCATAAAATTAGGGGAAACATGCATAATGTCGTGAAAATAGGTTTTTCTAAAAGCTAGAGACTTTGTTCAGATTTGGCTGAACGGTCTAATATTAAAAAAATATCTTTAAAAAGGTTCTATATGTGTTTCTTCACATTCTATGTGAGGTAAAAGCAGGGAAGACTGAATATTTCAAAGGATGATGAGAAAGTCCGTCTGTAGTGCGTGGTACAAATAATGATAATAATTCGCGAGGAGGGTCGCAATTGGAATCAGATTACAATCGCGTTTCCATCGAACTGTGAATGACAGGCATTCTAAAGTAACCTGACGCGTACCGCTGAGAATTAACCCTATACTGTTTCATTGGTTTAAAGTACCCGTCATTACCACGAAATATTAAGTAAAAAAAACTTTTATTACCAAAAAGTTTATTAGTGCTTCATAAAATATATCAAGAAGTTTAAAAGAAATTGCTTAAAAATTTTGTTACTTATAAGTTTATTCAATTTAATTTCTCAACTTTGCTAATTAGGTAGAAGGAGATACTTGTATAATAGAATAATAGTAATTCAGAAATGTAATATCGTAATTAAAGTTCGTAGAAAGGCTTTGTATGACTCACTTAAATCGGTCTAACTAGAAGCTAACTGGGATCGTTACTTCCCTTGCTTTTGTGTGAACTTTACGCTTAAACTTAACCAACAACTAGCCAACTTTGTACTTGCCTACTTGAACAAATTGATGAAGCTAATCAGGGTAACATCTTAACCTTTTCATGTACTGAACAATTAGGACAAATTAAATAAAGAAATGCATTTTTTGATTAAATAAACTTCAAACAAGGTATAAAGTGTCCATTTAGTAGAACAAGTCGTAAATGAGGGCGTCATGCGATGGAACAGTGTTTAATGCACTCGTGACTACTCGTGAGACGTCGGCGACACGCCGTTTGAATAAACTCGTTGAGCCGCGGATGCGCTAGTGCATGCAATTTGTTAGGTGCGTGAGAACAACCAGAAATGGCGTGACGTGCGATTGGTAAGTGCGCTGTAAGTGATGCTATCGTCTGCCATTAGTCACGTGTAGGTAAGGCACCGTAAAGCAAACTGACCTCTGAATCAAAGGTGAACGGTACTCCATATGGTCGCAGACTTAACCCGTGATTGCAACACTGCCACTCAGTGTTGCAATCACGGGTTAAGTCTTTCACTTTTGAATATCATTGACTTTATACTTTAAATATTTTCGTTCTGTTTCAAGTTAAAACACGCATTTTACTTAAAATCAC